CATGAGTTTTGCCTGTCCGCAGCTTGAGGTACAGTTTCCCCCAAACCCCTGCAGCTATCTTGTTTAAACTTGGCAGGCTTTGTGGCCTCCACAGGGGCTAGCATGCTTGCAGTTTTGACCCCACTGTGGCTTAACACATAAATGTAACATGAGTTTTGCTTTCAAAACTTTGGGGTGCAGTTTCCCCAAACCCCCTACACCTGTCTCCCTGAAACTTGTCAGGCTTTATACTCACAGAAGGGGCTACCATTTGTGCATGTTTCATCCAAATCAAGCCAGAAATGACTAAGTTATAGGCTGTTTTGTTCTTCCTGATTATAGCCTATGGGTGAAAGGTCAAAATAGTTTTGCCGTTTCTTTGGAATAAAATGGAACAGCTGTTTCAAATTGAAACAAAATTTGAAATGAACTGTTGTTTTGTCGAAGTGTTGAAACACTGGTTGAAATGGATCGCTGCTGTTTTCGTGCAGCCCTAGTTGTTATTGTAAATGCTACTAGGGAAACCTGGGGTGGGTGAGCATGGCACCAACCTCAGGCACCCATTTAGTGGGGTGCCAGGATGACACTGCAGCTGTAGCAGCCCCACACCATGGCTATAGCAGCAACAGCTGGGTGCAGGTATTCTGCCCAGCAGCTGCAGCAAACAGGGGTGGGCAGACAACTATATGCCAGAAGAAGCTGGGGACTTTGGGTCCTTATGTTAGGTAAAGCTAACATGTCAAGCCCCATGTTCTCTGTTGCTCAGCAGCACTTTTTCCTACACACAGCATTTTGCCAAGGGCAAAAAACTTGTTAATTATGCCTCTGGTAAATGCACATACAAAATGAGCACATTGCTGTTAATCTTGTGAAATCTGCTTCTGGATATGCATGCCTATTTCAGCAACTGATGTTACAAGTCACATAGTGCTTTTGTATATGACATTGAGATCGAGGCCAATACTGATATTTAATACAAATATTTGCACTTAATTGGGCAATGGGTAATTTTCCAGAGGCTAAAACTGAAGTTATCCACAAATGTTTGCAATCTACAGATATCCTGATAGCCAAAATATGTAGCTTGTCTACACTGTATTGCGTTTACAATATTTTGTGATTCTCAGCATTTTTGACAACCTAGCATATTCAGTTGGTTTTAGATTTCTTATCCAGATTGAATAAAGTTGTGTTTTTTCTGTTTGTTTGTTTATTTGTTTTTAGGTGGCTTGCCTGATATCTTGTATATTCATACTTGTGGTGATCTATGCAATGGGACCAATGTTATACTGGCTGCCTATGGTACAGTTAACCCTTATTTTTATTTTGAAAAGTTCCACTGCATTTTCACAAGAAATAACTCCTTTAAGAGGAAGATGGTTCTCTCTTTGACATAAATACAGAACTACTAACAGTAGTAGGAATGATATAGAGCAAATGGGAGTATACCCATGAATGAAACTTGAGTCTAATCTAATGATTCTGAACCAAGGTGCTACAACACTGTAGGGTGTCATAAGATCCTTTTAAGAGTGCTACAGGGTACCTTTCAGTATTTGCACTATTGGGTGTGCAAACCCAGACATTTTAAATAGGGATCCAGAGGGTTAAAAAAAATCCTGCCTTGTTGTGGTCTTTCTGAGTTCTGTGCAACAGAAGAATTGCTCTGTTATTTTTTAATAGCCAACAAATGAGTGAAAGCCAAGAGCTGGCATTTTCTGAGGGGTGCCTTGAATCTAAGAAGAGGTGCTTTTACCTTAAAAAGGTTAAGAACCAGTGGTCTATAATCCTTTCCTCTTCCAGTATTCACTCAGTTTAATCTATTCCTCCTGCTCCTGACACTCTCTGTCCTCCCCCTTCCTACTTATAGCCTTATACTTTAATTCAGAGTTGGCCTTTATCCTACATTAAAGTAATTGGATTCTCTGCACCCAGAGATGGATTAAGGTCCTGGGTCCTCGGTAAACACAAAATTGGAGGCCCCCTCCCTCCACAGGAGCTTGGCTGTAGGAGGAACCCCTTCCTCTCCTGGTGCTGGCAGGGGAGGCTGGGTGGACCCTGCCAGGCTGGGAGTACAGGGGGCTAAAGTGAATTCTGGGGGCCTATAGTCTCCTAAGGCCCCCCAGCACTGCCACTGGCCTGCAGAGGTGCAGCGCGGCACTCCCAGACTGCCCCCTCTGCCCTCAGGCCCCCCCCACCCGCTGTACCACACTCCCAGGTGGCTTAGCCCCAGCCTACCCCCCTCCCCCCATTGGCGAAGGGGCCCTGCTCCCAGATGCAGGGAAACAAATGTGAAAGCTGGGATTTTAAACTGGGTGCCTTTTTTTGTCTCCCTGCTGGGAGACAAAAGCATGTCAAGTTTAAAACCTTCCTTTGACTTCCCTGCTGATGAGGATCCTGGGGCCCTGAATTGGTGGCCCTGGGGCTCAGGCCCGGCTGGTTGGTGCATGCCTATATCTACACCGGGGCTATCTGCAGAAAGTGGCAGGGAGTAGGAATGCTGCTTATCTGGGTGGGAGATTCATCTTCTCAGTACCTGTAAGTTTCTAGCTCATTGGTCCTGAGAGAATGATGTTGGGCTATTACCATTTAGGCAGAAGACCCTGGTTAGTCCCTTACAAAATTATCACTTTCCTCATTCTGGGAAAAGTTGTGTGAGAGGTTTGGAATGGTATGTGCAGGGCAGGCGTCTATAGGCTATTTGAAGTCATTATATTTTTGAAACATTTACCGTAGTGTGCCTATGTCTACATTAATTTCTAATTTGAGAAAAATGCCAATTTTACTATCTAGCAAATCCCTAACTCCCCCTTTCCCCTTTTTGTTATTTTTCAGTGTGTTCTAGCAAGTATCATTGTTGTTGGTCTAAAGGGGATGTTAATGCAGTTCCGTGACTTAAAAAAATATTGGAATGTGGATAAAATAGATTGGGTAAGTGAAATTTAACCTAAGGAGATTTTCCTGAGAGAGGCTTAAGCACATACTTACTAAACAAACCTTAATACTGCTAGTTCTGAGAAGAAATATGCCAGCACAAGCAATAAATGTTTTTATGTACTACCAGCTTATTTTCTCTGTCTCAAAATAACAGCATTTGAAATGTTAATTGCCTTTATAAGAAACAGAAGTGGAATTTTGGCAAATTATTAAGGATAAAGCATAATTTAAGACTAAAAAGCTTTATAGTCAGACCTGGTTAATTTGAGTGGATTTAGAATGTCCAAATTTATATATGTATAAAGGACCACAATAGCTAGTCAGCATGGTTTTGCTGGTATTCTAAACCTACTATTCAGTTCTTGTAGTTCCATATGTCCTATATATTTCATTCCTCTAGGGTGAAATATACAGGACATGCAAATAAAATCATAAGATATGGGAAGAAACACTGTATTTCATGCTGCTGCATGGATTTTAATCCTGATGAAAATAGCACAATGGATGGTTTCTACTTTAGATGTTCAGGGCCAAACAGGATTTGTTTGGTCAAAACTAAAAGACTCATTAGCATGGGATGTAAAACAGAATAGAAAATGACATGGGTGTAATGAGTTGTAGTAAAGGGGTATATGGCAATATAAAATCTGAACAGCATGGTGAGCATTCATAGAATTGTAGAAAATTAGGGTTGGAAGGGACCTCATGAAGTCCCTGCTAATCCAGCCCCCTGCTCAAAACAGCACCATCCCCAACAAGATCATCCCACTCAAGGCCTTGTCTACCCGGGTCATAAAAACCTCCAAGGATGGAGATTTGACAACCTCTCTGGGTAACCTGTTCCAATGTTTTACTACCATCCGAGTGAGAATTTTTTTTCCTAATATCTAACCTAAACTTCCCTTGCTGCAACTTGAGACTGTTGCTCCTTGTTCTGTCATCTGCCACCAGTGAAAACAGTCTAGCTCCATCCTTTTTTGAACCACACTACAGATAGTTGAGGGCTGCTATTAAATCCCCTCTCAGTCTTCTCTTCTCTAGCCTAAATAAGCCCAGTTCCCTCAGCCTTTCCTCATAAGTCATCTGTCCCAGTCTCCTAACCATTTTTGTTGCCCTGCTCTGGACTCTCTTCAGTTTGTCTACATCCTTTCATGATAAAGAAACCCTGGCAAATATTCAAGTAAGTATGGATCTGAATCAATCAGATTGCAGTGATGATTTCTTGGGTGTTGGTTTGATTACATATTTCAGTAAGGCTGGTAGATTTGTCCTGCCATGGACACAGAGATTCCCAACAAGGCTGTATCTTACATGTAGTGGTTTGGATTTGCTTATAGATCTTCAGAATCTGTTTCTGTGACTGTGGGTGAGGACCAACCATTTAAAAAGCTTGATATTCTAGACTACTTGGAAACATTAAAAAAAGCAGCCTAGCAGAAGAAGCAATGCGTTACTTCGACCTGGCTTTGTAGCATCAGTATAAATCGGGCACTTCAGGTATTAGATAAAAGCACCAAAAATCCCCACTAAAGCACCCAATCAATACAGATATCAGGCAAGCTGGGTCCAATTAACATACTGCCTCTTCTGGGCATGTGCTAGGCTCAGTGGAACCATGTGGAAGCATGCCAAGTTTAAAGTGAAGTGCAGTTTTTTTGGATTTTTTAAAAAATGTTTGCAAGCAGCCATAATGATTCATGGTTGTTCTGCCATAATACCCTACCTTTTAAAAGGTATATCTGTTC